TGCTGGATGTGAGGGGCTGGCAGGAGGGACAGCTGCCCCCCTGACTGAGCTATATCCCTAATTCCCATGTGGGGACACTGGTTACAGCGGGGGGGTGTCCTTATCTTGCATCCCCCTCACATGGTGGGGCAATACTGGTTGACAGGGCTGGGGCTGCCAGGAGCCACATCAGGCACAGATCCTGTTGGTCGGGACCTTGCTTGGCTGGGGTTTAGTGGCTTTCCATGGATTTTCAGCTGAAGGGCAGCTTTTAAGTATAAATAAATAAAATGTTTGAACTCAGTTTTACACAGAATTGAGGACCTGCAGGTGACTTTTTGGACAGTTTAGTGACAGGTGAGTGAGGGCAAAGGAGGCAGCTGATTGCTGGGGTGGACACCAACTACTGGACTAGCACCAAGCACACCAAGAGCGTTTGCCTGTGCACATTGAGAAACCCCTCACAGCACTGTGGTTTTTCTCTCTTTTAGAACTGGAGACATGTCCTGGCTAACAGGGAAAGGCACCTAAAGCCACGGATGGCTGAGCTCTCCTGATCCTGCACTCGCCGTGGGGAGATGGGACAGCAGCTCCATGGCCTGGTGGCAACCCCATGGCTCAGCCATTTCCCTTTGAGACCTCGATGAACCTGGCATTGTGACCTTCCAGGAGGATCTCACACAGCTCCTCTGCCCCTGTGCTTGCTGGGCTGGGACTGGGGCTATACTGTTGCAATTGCTCTGGCATGCTGGAAAAGCAGTCCACAGAGAGTGTGAGGTTTGGCACTGGCAGCGGGCATGGGTGCCACGTGGCTCAGGATGCTGCCATAGGGCTGAGGGTCCCCAGGCGGGTCTGCCCACGCATGTCCCTCACTCCCATAAGCAGCACGAGTGCCTTTGGTTGTCCTGTGCTTTCATGCATGATGCTCCTTTTCAAATTCTCTTCACTCCCAGCAGAGCTCCAACATCCATCCCTGCAGACCCTGACATCTGCTCCTTTTCTTCATGGCTGCAGCGTTTGCCACAGCTCTCCCTGTGCCCACCCACCCCAGGGTGCACCTGGGCAGGCCAGGAGATTGCACTGGGTGATCTCTGTGCAGCTGGTGCAGTGTTGTCCAGGCTGGTCCTGTGCAGCCCCACCAGTAGAGGTGGGTCCCTGTCCATGCTGAGGACTCTGGAGCTCATCAGTCCCCATCCCAACATCTCCTGTCCTGGAGCAGCCAAGGGGCTGGGATTTATTCCCTGTCTCCTGGGGCTTGGTTTGGGCCGGGGCTCTGGCAGCTCTTGGGCCCATTCCTGGGGTGCATTGCAGGGATACCTGAGAGCTGTGATGGCTCAGCTGCAGCCCTGGGCTGGGTGGCCACCCTTCCAGCCAGCCTTGGGATATCTCTCCTTAATGCTATCATGGGGTCAGTGCTGTTGCTGAGGTGTTATTCGAGGAGAAGTATCTGGGGGAGCATTTCTGGCTGTCCATTCTCTGGCACTTGTCCGGTGTAGTGACAAAGCTGCATTTCCCAGCCCACCATGCTAGTGCTCTGCTGTCCTGTTTCCGGCCCCATGCTGAAGAAGAGCCATGTCTCCAGCTCAGGAGTGGACCTGGCCAGCCACAGCCCAGTGTCCATCAGCCCAGCAGAGCGGGGGTTGAGGGTCCCCATTGGAGAGACTCCAGTGCTTTGTTCTGGGGGCGACTCCTTCCCCAGCAGTCAATGTTTTACCCTGAGTCCCAAACAAGAGGATTTATATTTTTAATTTGATTCAGCCCCTCTGAATTAAAGCAATACTATTCTTGGGGTCTGGGTCATTTCTGATTTCTTCCAAGACCTTGGGTCACCTCTGCATGGCCAGGTTGTTCAAGAACCTCTTTTCTGGAGACTTCCCACCTGTGTCCAGCTCACTTGTATTTCCAGTATTTCAGATCTTGGTTGGGTAGAAATGCACCAGTGTCTATCACATCTCTGTCTGGTCTCTCCTGGTTTCACTGCAGAGTTTTTCCCACATGGAATGACCAGGAGGGATGGTAGCAGGATGTGGGTCCCCAGCACACAGGGAACTTGCATGTCTCATCTCAGGTTCAAAAAGACAAATGTCAATGTTCGTGTCCACAGGTCCTCCTCTGAGGGCAGGGTGGCTGGGGCTGCTCAGCTCCTGGTGCCCCAGGCAGGGCTCTTCCAGAGTGGCCCAGGGCTGTGGGCACAGCCCAGGTGGAGGCAGCTGCCCAGGTGCTGCCTCAGCTCTGCCCACTACCCACAAAGATCTGGGTTTGTGTCCTGTGTCCTGCTGGTAGGATAGTTGGACGCAGCTTTGGCAGCTCCCCAGGGGACCCAGCTGGAGTGCCAGGGGACTCTGGGGCACCACAGGGTGGCATTCCCTACAGCTGTGTGTTTTCCCCAAGCTCTCTGTCATATTCTCCATGCTGGGTGAGACTGGCATATCCCCCAGCACAACTTTGCTACACTGGGGACACAGCGGCAGAGTGCTTTGTTTTTCAGGAAGATGCTTTTTGACCTCCTTTGCCTCTGATGGGGCCTCATCCACTGTTGTGCATGAGCTGCATAAAATGGGCATCACCCCCATGTTCAGAGGGCCGAAAACCATTCAGGGGCTGAGGAAGGACCTTCTGTCCCAGTCTACAGCTGCAGTGGGGGTAACAAGTCCCATTCCCTGCTTTTTACAGAGGAGTTGTTTCAACCAGGGCTGGTAATATCACCCATGACATGAGAAATCCCAGTCACAACTGTAGCTTTCCCTGGGACATGTGTCAGGTCATGGGCAGGGCTGGCTCAGATGGGTATTTCTCCTCTGCGCAGGTGTGGGGTGGTGTTGAACCTGAGACCCCTTATCCAGTGCCTTGGCAAATGCTTCCCAGTGGTGAGTCTGTCCTGGAACTGGGCAAGGCTGGGTTGTGTTCTCTGCCACTTTTCCAGGCCCATCTTGCAACCTCTCATGCCAGGACAGAAAGTTTCCATCTCTTCTTAAGAAACTGCCTATTCCCATGAGGAATGAAAGCCCATCTGGGGCACATGCAGTTACCCCCAGCTGCACTGTCCCATGTCAGTTACCTCCACCAGAGTGCCCATGCAGACTTGATGCCCCCAGATCCTGAGCTCTCCACCAGCTCCTGCTCCTCAGATTCTCGGCTGTGCCTGTCACCCTGCCCATGTCTCACCTGTGTGCTGGCAGGATGTGGGGGACAGCTGGGGCTTTGCCTCTGCCCCATGCAGGTGAGACCCCATCTGGAGAACTGCATTCAGCTCTAGGGTCCCAGCACAGGAAGGACCTGGAGCTGCTGGAATGAGTCCAGAGGAGGCCAAAGGGATCCTCTGAAGGCTGGAGCCCCTTTGTTCTGGAGCCAGGCCAGGAGAGCTGAGGGTGTTCACTTGGAGAAGAGAAGGCTCCAGGGAGACCTCAAAGTCCCTTCCAGGGCCTAAAGGGGCTCCAGGAGAGCTGGAGAGGGACTGCGGACAAGGGATGGAGGGACAGGACAAAGGCAGGTTGGGATATTGGGAAGAAGATGGTATATAGTGAAGAAATTCTTCCCTGGGAGGGTGGTGAAGCCCAGGCACAGGGTGTCCAGAGCAGCTGTGGCTGCCCCTGGATCCCTGGACATGTCCAAGGCCAGGCAGGATGGGGCTTGGAGCACCCTGGGACAGTGGAAAGTGTCCCTGCCCATGGCAGGGGGTGGGATGAGATGAGCTTTAAGGTCTCTTCCAACCCAAACCATTCTGCAATCCTACAACTTCAGCCAGTCAGGTTTAACCATGCCTTCAGCCCCAGATGGTTTGGTTTTGGCAACATATGGCAGTGAGCTCTGCAATTTCTTTTTAGCTTTATCCAGGAAAAGAATCATCTCTTTCTTTGATTTCTTGTGTTCCTTGACCCTAAGTTCCTGGCCCTTAAGGACCTCATTTATAGCACTTGCTCCCACTATTTGAGGCAGCTTCTCTGATGCACCTTATGGGGTGAGTTGGAGGCCGAAGATCATGAGGTGAGACCAGATCTGTTGGGTAGAACTGACTGACACTTATAGAGTGTGCCCAGAGAAGGCAACAGTGCTGGGGAAAGGGCTGGAGCCCCAGGAGAGGTTGAGGGAGCTGGTAGAGGGGCTCAGCCTGGAGAAAAGGAGCCTCAGGGGGGACCTTGTGGCTCTGCACACTCTGACAGGAGGAGACAGCCGGGGGGATCGGGCTGTGCTCCAGGGAACAGGGACAGGAGGAGAGGGAACGGCCTCAGGATGGGCCAGGAGACGGGTGGGATGGATATTAGGGAATATTTCTTCATGGAAAGGTTTGTCCAGCTCTTATACAGCCTTCCCAGGGCAGTGGTGGAGTCCCCATCCCTGGAAACGTTCAAAAAATGTGTAGATGTAGCACTTGGGGACATGGTTTAGTGGTGACCCTGGCAGTACTGGGCTAATGATTTGACCTGATGATCTTAGAGGGGTTTTCCCACCTTAATAATTCTGTGATTTTAAACTTGAAGTTCCTGAAGAACCTTTCCCTCCCATTCACCTCTGGCTCAGCCACCCCCTAATACATCATCCCCCACTGCCCTCCCCAGCACCCCTGAGGCTGGATGGGGCTTGAGGAACTCACAGTGATGGCTAAATACTCCATCAGCCTGGAGGCCTTGAAGAAGCATTTCAGGTGAAGAGTAGCATCCTCTCATGAGGCATCCTCATTTGCCAGGGGTCTTTGAGCAATATTTGTGTTGCTAGAGCCCGGCTGGGAGAGGGTGCAGTTGCTGCAAGTCACAGTGACAGGTACAAGCTGCTGTCACCCCCTAAAGATGCCATTGAGGGGAGATGCTCTGTGACTTGTGATTTCCTTGTAATTCCTGCATGGGCTTGGTGTTCCAAGGTGGGAATTCTCCTTCCCCAGATCCCCCTTCCAGGTCAGCAGCCCTGTCCCCAAGGAGCCAATGGCCGTGTGGCCCTGCGCATTAGCCTGGCCTGTCATCTCACTGATTCCCTCCTGGCTAATCCGGGCTGAGCTGGGCTGCCTGAACAGGGCTCAGCTGCTGTCCATGGCTGTGCCCACCCCGCTGCCCCCCAGCCTGCGCCGGGGCTTGGTGGCCTTCAGTGGGTCCCTCTTCATCAACAACAAGACGTGGGATAGCGGCACTGCCCACACCTACCAGCCAGGTATGGGCTCTGCAGAGGGGGCTTGGGAACAGGGGCTGTCCGTCCCCATGACCCTGCTCAGCACATCACCAAAGCAGCTGGGTGCCTCTGAGGCAGCAGCACCCAAAGGGTGCTGAACCCACCCACCAGGGAGGGAGCAAAAATAAGAACATTTGCTGCAATCAGCTGCTTGTGGGACCCAGGGTCTGTTGCTCCCCTCCACAAGTCGTGAGGGGGGTCCCTCTGGGCAGGGGGACCCCGGGACTGGTGAGCAGCCTGCCCATCCCTGCCTAGCTCACAAGGTGCTGTCCAGCCTGCCCCTCCAGGTGATGCTCTACTTCAACGTCTACTACTTCCCAGTCTGGTGCCTGGCTGAGGGGATTATGCTGCACCTGAAGGTACCATTCCATGGGGCACGTAGGGATGGGGGGAGCTGCTCCTGCCAAGCCTCCCTGGGCCTGGGTGGGGGACAAAGTGGGCAGGGGACAGAGGAGCCCCTTCAGAATTAATGGATCCCCAAAATGCCCTGACCCCCATGAGAAAAGATTGCTCATCTCTCTCTGCTAGAGATGGAAATCATGAACTTTCCAGGCAGGAATGGTTAAAATGGGCGGGGGGGGGGAAGAGTAGGCAGAGCTGGGCACCAGCATGGTGAGAGCTGGCAGAGCATGGAGAGCTGGGTATGGGGAGGAGGGCACAGGGAGCTGGGCATGGAGAGCAGGGAATGGTGCACAGGGAAAGCGGAACTGGGCATGGACAGCTGGACTTGGACAAGGCTGTGCCCCCATAACAGTACCACCTGCTGCCTTGGCACTATCAGTTCCTGCTGGTCACAGCCTTCCTCATCCTCTCGCTGGCTGAGGGCTCCCGCCTCTACCTGGGCTACCTGGGGAACCTGCAGGAGAAGGTAAGCACTGCCTGCCCTGGTCTCTGTGCTCAGAGAGGATCAGCCCAGCTGGGGGAGCTGGATGTCCCCTCCCTTAGGACCCATGTGCCCATCACTGTCCTTTCTCTGGAGGTCTACCTGGAGCTGTCCTGGAAGAGAACTGGGGTGAAGGCATGACCTGGAGAGAGGGAATGAAGGGGACCCATGTGCCCTCCTGCTCTGTCTCTCCACTGGGGGGGTTTGACAGCATCTGACCACAGCTCAATGGAGCAGGGACACCCCTGGTCCCCGGGTTCCAAGGCCAGCAGAGGCTCATGCAGAAAGCTCCAGGGGCACAGAGGGTCCCCCCAGCCCACCACTGCCTCCTTGCCCTGTCTCAGCAGGTTCTGATCCTGCAGGTGCCTGAGCTGGCTGGATTCCTGCTCCTCTCCTTCCTGATCCAGCTGCCCCTCCTGCTCTTCCTGCTGACGGACAGGCAGGTCATCCACCTACCGCTGGAGGTGCCCATGCACAGCTTGTTCCTGGCCTTCCTCCTCTTCGAGATTGTGGCTGCCTTCCTGGTGCTGAGGACCATGACCAAGCAGCTGGCGGCACAGTTTTACCTGCGGCAGTTCCAGGAGGGTGGGAGGGGCCGGCTGGAGCCCGGGGGCACAGGGGAACAGGCAGCCAAGATGGGGTGATGCTGCATGACCCCTCCACCCCACACAGCTGGTCCTGGCAAGGAGCATTAAAACAGTGCTTGAACCCACAGACAATGTTTCTGAGCTTTGTGGAGACCCCAGAACAGCACCCAGGCACATCCCAGCTGATCCCTCCTTGCACAAGCTAGCACAGCCTAGGAAAGGTGGGAGTGAGGGGTCAGCACCTCTGAAACGTTCTGGCTCACCCCAGGGCTGTGCCTGTCCTTGCTGAGCATCAGCCCTGGCAGGAGGCAGGAATTAGGGTGCAGGAGCCACTGCATACCCCTAGGAAGTACCAGCCCAGGGCTGGCACTTTAAACTTGGCTCCTAAACCCTCTCTGAGCTTCCCAGGGAGCTTCTGAGAATCCAGGTGGCCCACATGAAGCCATCCCAGCTGGAAGCATGCATGGGTGCTATGAGATGCAAGCAGAACCTTACAGTTCCTCCAGGGCCAGAGACAGAGTAAAACCTCCTCCCACTTCCAGAAGAGCTTTATTCCATTGCATCCCTGTTTTTCAAGGGAAATCAATATCCATGATCATTGGAATGTGGAGAAATGCAAAATGCTTTAAGCCTCTTGTGCCAAGCAGGACCAGTGGGACCCAGCACACTCTGGGGTAGCTCCATGGGCAGCTCTGCTCCAGCACCGGTTGTCAGCGCTGGGAGCTGCCCTTGGGATGGCTTTGTGCTCCAGGAGCCAAGAACTGCTGCTGCTGCCAGTGCTTCTCCAGGAAAGGCAGACCCTCACCCTGGCAGTGCCCACCTGGGCCAGGACTGGCCCACCTCTACCAGGGCTGCAGCCATGTCCCCATCATATCTACCTGCAGGTGGCTCTGGGGGGAAGGGTGTTTGTGGTGGAGCATTCCCGGTGCCCCTAAGCTGTGGCCTCAGGCTTACCTTTAGGGGGTCTTGCCTGCAAAATGAACAGGGACATCAGTATACAACAGGCATGGAGGCAGCCCAGGTGGCCCTCAGCTACTCTGCTTGGTTCCATGCAACCAGATTCCCAGGACCCCCACCCCACTCTGGATTTGAGATCAGGCATTAGGAAAGTTTACCCCCCAAAAGGATGGTGCAGCTTTGGGACAGTTCACCAGGAGATGGAGGATCTCAGTCCTCAGAGGCTCCAAAGACTTGGCCAGACAAAGCTGGAAATGACCTGAGGCAGGACTGCCAGCTCTCCTGGTCTGTAGGGGACTCCTGATTCACCAGGGCAGTGAATTCCCACAATGGAATAATGTTTGGCACATAAACTTGTCAATGACCCACAGAACAGGATGTGCCCTGAAGAGCTGGCCCCTCTCTGCATGGAGTCCCAACAGATTCCCTTTGAAAGAGGGTGAAAAACATAGAGCTGGGTCAGTTTTCCAGATAAAGGTCTCCATGGCGATCCACTGATGGATGTTTTGACAGTAGTTGAGGTCATGATGCAACTTTCCCTGATTCCTGGCACCAGCTGGATCCCTCTCCCAGATCAGACTGGCAATCAAGCCCAAAAGTTGAAAACTAAGAGCTGCTCCACTAGGTTTTTCCCTGATCTTTGGAACTGAGTTTTAACCAAAGGGCAGAAAATCATTAAATCCAAAATGATTCACTTCAAAACCTCCTCTCTCCCATGTAGCCCTATCCTTACCTCCTCAAACTTCTCCTTCCAATAAAGGTCAGCCTTTGCATCCAGGTAGAGCAGAACCAGGTCACAGACCATTGTAGCCTGGAGACAGACAAACATTGAAGACGAGAAACTTCCCACAGGAATACCTGGCCTTTCATCCTGGCTCCCACTGAGCCCTGCAGCCAGCTGTGGGCATTTGCTGTGGCTCCCAGCCAGTCCTGCCTCCAGCCAGCTCCACTGGCTCCTCTCTGACCCAACCTGGTCCAGGAGCTGCACAGGAGGTCAGACAGGATCCCCAGACTGCAATGGATGGACAGGGAGGGCTGTTCCAGCACCTTCACAGTCACATACAGACTGGGATGAGCACGTCAGGGAGGAAAGGGGGGCAGGTGGGGAACCTCCCTGTTACTCTGCTGGAAGGGAAGAGCCACAGAAGGGCTCTACAAAGGGCTGCCCCACCATAGTGACAGGACACTGCAACCCTTCAGTCAGAGAAGTAGAGAAGCTGCTCTCCTGTCAGCAGCATCCCAGTGATGCTCTGTCCCAGGTTCCACACAAAAACCTGACCACCATGAGACATGACTCTGACAGCACTCAGGATCCCAATCTAGTGGTGTCATTACAAATGGTCACAGGGAGACCTGAGCTGACACCCTGCCAGACCATCTCCCCTCTGTGCTGGCTGCCACTAAGGAAGCCTTGTGCCTAGGCAGGCAGGGAAACAATTGAGAAGTGGCAAATCCCAAGCCATGGATCGAAGGAGAAGAGTGTATCTGGAGTACTCACAGCACCAAAGAAGGCGATGCTGGTGCCAAAGCTCACAGCAGTAGGAACAATGCTGAACTTCCCAGCCTGGTGAGAAACAGTGGAGGGGCAAGAGAGAGGGTGAAGCGTGGTCAGAGGGGTGAGAAGGTTGTGGGCTGAGCCCTGCGGGGCAGCATGCTCAAAGTCAGGAGGTGCTGGAAGGATCCAGGGATATTTCCCCATGCAGATTTGTAGGAACTGCTGTTGTGCTGACTCCAACCCCCTTTGGTTGTCAAAGAAGGGACTGAGGTGCCTGATGAACTGGAAGCAGCAGAGGTTACCGTGACCCACCTGCTCCTGCAGGCACAGCAGGAATCTCCCTCTTGCTGCAGCTGCCACCCATGGAACCACATCCCAGCAAACACAACCCTGATGTGATGTGTCCCTCCCTTCACAAATGAGTCTGGTGGTTTCTCTTCTGGTTGTTCTCTCCTGTTCCACAGCTCCTGGACCTGCTCTCTCAGCCTAGAAGTGGTACACCCTGTCCTGCACTGTGTGCTTCACCTTCTTCAGGTACAAAGGGCACTGCTGAGCATCAAAGACCAGCTATGGACACCTCTCAGTGTGGGAAGTGCTCTCAGCACAGGCTCCCTCTTTGGAAAGCTAAGCACTGAGTCTGTGAGTGGTGCTGCATAGAGCAGCATCAACAATCATGGAAACATGGAATAGTTTGAGTTGGAAGAGACCTTAAAGCTCATCTCATTCCATCTTCTGCCATGGGCAGGGACACCTTCCACTGTCCCAGTGTGCTCCAAGCCCCATCCTGCCTGGCCTTGGACATGTCCGGGGATCCAGGGGCAGCCACAGCTGCTCTGGGCACCCTGTGCCTGGGCATCATCACCCTCACAGGGAAGGATTTCTTCACTATATCCCATCTTACCCTGAGAAGCCATTCCCCTGTGCCCTGTCCCTCCATCCCTTGTCCGCAGTCCCTCTCCAGCTCTCCTGGAGCCCCTTCAGGCCCTGCAAGGGGCTCTGAGCTCTCCCTGGAGCCTTCTCCTCTCCAGGTGAGCACCCCCAGCTCTGCCAGCCTGTCTCCAGAGCAGAGGAGCTCCAGCCCTTGGAGCATCTCTGTGGCCTCCTCTGGGCTCTCTCCAGCAGCTCCAAATCCTTCTGTTGTTGGGGACACCAGAGCATGTGCAGCACTGCACCAGAGCAGGGCAGAGAAGCAGAGTCCCCCTTTACCTCCTGCCCACAGTGGTGAGGGTGAATCTAGGACACAGGGCGTTTCCGGGCTCTCAGGCACATGGCTGGGGCATGTCCAGCCTTAATCATGCCACACCTTTTCCCCCTGAGGGTACTTTTAATCAAGAAGGGATTAATTGTCCAGGTTCAGTAGAGTTCAGGTTGATCTTTGTCAGGGTGCTCTCACCATAACACCCTCAGAGAGAGACACCCACAAGCCCAGACCAGGTGACCTTGCCTACTGAACACTTCATGGCCCCCATGTCAGACCCTCAGAGAGGGAAATCTCCCTCCTCAGGGCATTACCAAAAGCTTTTTCTTCAAATAGGAGAGACTGTTTTCTCCTGCTCTGCTTAGAAAACTCTGGGAAGAGGCAAAGAGCTCACCCAGGAGGGGAGAAGTGATGGGAGCAGAAAGCACAGGGGCAGAGTGGGAGCAGTGGTGTGAGGAGTCAGCCTTGGGGCTGAGGAGCTCACGGTACCTGGCCATGCACAGAGAGGTCAAAGCGGATCCCATAGAGCTTCAGCAGGTTCCGGTAGAGCTGCTGCTGTGAGCCCCAGTAGTAGGAGGCAGTTCTGTGGGAGACATTGGGCATGGCTCAGAAAGGCAGCTCCATGCAGGCAGGGAGGAAAGGGGAGCCAGTGCCAAGGATTGCTGGGCCTCTGGGTTCCTGGGTGTCCTCCAGGCTGGGAACTGGCCATACACGTGCAGTGATGACTCACTGGCACCAACAGTGGGGCGTCAGCATCCCCTCAGCACCCAGTCTGGGTCACTGGGGGCACGCAGCTCTCCGTGTGCCCAACTCAGGTGGGGACAGTCAGAGGTCCCTGCCCTCAGGTAATGCCCTGCTCAGCTCCAAACACAAAAGAGCTACCAAGTCTGAGAACTGCCACAGCATCCCTGTACTGACAGGCCCTGCCTTGAGTTACCATTTCCCAATGCCTTAAAGGTCTCTAAGACTTTTAAGTTCAAATAATTAACCAAGCACTAACCCATGTCCCCAGGTGCCACATCTACACAGCTTTTAAATCCCTCCAGGCACAGGGACTCCACCATTGCCCTGGGCAGTTTCACCAGCGCTGGATAAACCTTGCAGTGAAAAGATTTTTTCTAACATGCAATCTAAACACTCTGTTAGTGCAACTTCAGGCTGTTCCCTCCAATAAGACTCCTTGTTCCCTGGAGCACAGCCCGACCCCCCCGGCTGTCCCCTCCTGTCAGGAGCTGTGCAGAGCTACAGGGTCCCCCCGAGCCTCCTTTTCTCCAGGCTGAGCCCCTTTCCAGCTCCCTCAGCCTCTCCTGGGGCTCCAGCCCCTTCCCAGCTCCGTTCCCTGCCCTGGACATGCTCCAGCCCCTCCAGGTCTCTCCTGTCAGGAGGGGCCCAGATCTGCCAGGACTGGAGATGCCCCAGCAGTGCCAGCACAGATCAGGTGCCCTTGGACTTCCTGCCCACCTGGGTGCACCTGGGCTCATGTTCACCTTCAGGTCCTTTTCTGCCTGCAGCTTTCCAGCCACTCTGCCCCAGCCTGGAACATTCCATGGCATTGTTCTGGCCCCAAGAGAGAACCTGGCACTTGACCTTGTTGAACCTCACACCACTGGCCTCAGTCCATAGATCCAGCCTGTCTAGTTCCCTCTGCAGGGCTTCCTGCCTTACAGCTGATCCACACTCCCACCCAGCTCAGTGTCATTTGTGGACTGACTGAGGCACACTTGCTGTCCCTGCTGCTCCTTTCAGAGCATCCATCAGAACTGAAATCTCAAACAACTGTCATGTGCTGATCCCACAGGCCTGTGTGGCCACTGTCCCAGCATCCTCACCTGAAATTGTACCTCATGTCCTGCAGGCTGAAGGAATACTGTGGTTGGCACTGGGTAGCAGCGTGGTCCAGGTCGCAGTTCCACTCGATAAGGACTCTGATACTTCCCCCCTGAAAAACACATTTTATTCCAGGAGAAGCATGGAATCAGATTAGCTGAGTCATTGACTGTTCAGACATTCCCAGATCACATATTCCCTAAGCATTTCAGGTCAGTCCTCTGCTTCTTGCTCACATCCTTGCAGAATTTTGAGTTGCCTTCCATAGTTATATAAAAAACAAGTACCAGTAGTGCGAGGTCTCCAAAGTTCTCTCCAGCTGCCTCCACCATGTCACGGACACGGAACACAGGGCAGGAGGGGTTGAAGATTGGATCATATGTGCAGCTCTTGAAATAGCTGGGGTCACTGGTTTGTAAGGTGTTGCACCTGAGACAGGAGAGAGGGGGGGCAGGGGTGTGGGAGGTCATGGAGCCCAGCTGTGGGACTGCAAAGGGGACCCTCTCACTGGATTGGGCCCACCAGTGCTCCTGCATCAGCGGGGGGACAGTCAATGCCTTGCCTAAAGCCTCAGATGGAAGAGAGTGGAGAAAAACCAGCCCAGAGGAATCTCACATGGAGTTATCCTCTATAGCACATGCCACGGCCTTCCCTTCCACCTCTTTGTGCTCCTTTGTTTCTTCCCAGCACCCAGCTCTGGTCACTGCTATGGGTAACAGCAGGGACAGTTCGTGCCATGTCTCCTGCCATGGTAAGGCAGCACAGTCAGTGTGCCTGGGACTGTGGGGTCAGTGCAGCCCTTTACTTGCCCTCTATGAAACCACTTTGCAAGGACTAAAAGACAAAAATATTAGTTTCACTTCCAAATGAGAGCTTGGGAATGGCTGGCTTTGTCCGGCTCTCCGCAGTGCTCTGCATGGGCAGGTGGACATCAATCCCTCTCTCTGAGGTGTCCCCATCCCACTGCTCTTAGAACTGCACACCCAGCACAGCTGAAGTGACCTGTATTCACCTCAACACCTGTCCTGCCCTAAACTGCCTCAGCACCACCTGCCCTGAGTGTCACTGGCTCCACGAGTGCTTCAGCTCCTCAGCCCCATGACAGGCTCAGTGCCAAGGCTGGACAAGGCTGCATGCTCAGCCCAGCTGGGAGTACTGTACTTACTTGGAGAAGTTAAATTTGGTGAAGTGGACAGTATTTTTTATAAAAAGAGTGAAATTCTCTGCCTCAGCCAGAAGAGGTTTCCTAGAAAACAACCACCAACGAAGTCAAGTCATGCACAGTGGCCAAGGCCCCATTTCCCAAGCTCTGCAGTCCCTCCTGCAATCCCAAGATTTTGGCTACAATGGACAGGTACAAGAAATGCTCTTGGGTGACACCCTTTGAGTTTAACTGACCAGAAAGTCAATGTCAGAGGTCTCCCAGAGCCTGGTTGTCCCTTGGGCATGTGTGGTCAGACTCCTGTTAACACAGAGGGAGAGAGCCAAAGCTCCCAATATCTGCTGTCTCCTCATGTGTCATTACCTGGGCAGGGTGCTATTCTCCACAGGACACCAGCCATAGATCTCACAGGTGGAATGGGTGGCATTGAACATCAAACATTTCCCAGTTTTTATCCCTAGAAACAAGACAATATAAGACAGGCTGAGAGAGCTGGGGTTGGTCATCTGGAGAAGACTTTGGAGAGACATTAGAGCCCCTTCTGGTGCCTAAAGGGGCTCCAAGAGAGCTGGAGAGGGACTTGGGACAAGGGCCTGGAGAGACAGGACAAGAGGGAATGGCATCCCAGTGGCAGAGGCAGGTTTAGATGGGATATTGGGAAGGAATTGTTCCCTGGCAGGGTGGGCAGGCCCTGGCACAGGGTGCCCAGAGCAGCTGTGGCTGCCCCTGGATCCCTGGCAGTGCCCAAGGCCAGGTTGGTTGGGGCTTGGAGCAGCCTGGGACAGTGGAAGGTGTCCCTGCCCATGGCAGGGGGTGGAACAGGATGAGCTTTAAGTTCCTTTTTAACCCAAACCATTCTAGGATTTTGTTTCTTTAGCAAAACACCCAGTACCATTGCCATGAACCACAGGGTTTCCCACAGGACAATCTGCATCTTCTGTGCACATCCCGTCGAGGACAGAGGGGCTCTGGGAGGGACAGAGAGAAGTGTTGTCACTGTGCTGTGAGGCTGAGGCCATGCTGTCACTTCCCCCCACTGCTGCACTGCTGCTCCTGCTTCTCCAAGTGCCTCCCAAACAGTTAGAGACGAACATTCACCAGCCTCCAGCCCGTCACAAGAGAGGCATGTCCAAAGGGCAACCCTTCCTCTCCAGAACACTTGTGTCCTGCTGCTCAGTGGCAGAGGAAGCCTTAGGAGCTACCTCAGACCTTTCAGATGGAACTGGGAACCAGCACAGAGGGATTCAGGAGGGCCCTAATGACTGAGCCCATTAAGCACCTTGTAAAGTACCACAATGAATTCCCTGGGGGAGAGCTTAGTAGACCCTAAATCCAGCATAACACAAGTTTTACAAAAGACAGGGAAAGCTTCACCCTTACTCTGGACCTACCTGATTGTCAGGAGCAGTAAAAATCTCTTATTCAAACACAGAGAGATGACCATAGTTGGGGAAACACCACTAACACCTCCCCAGCTACCCCAGGCCATGACAGGAGTCACCAGCTCATCAGAAACCCACTCCCCAAGCTCTGAGGGTACAAAGGCCCAAACGCAGGAGGGGAATTCTCAGTTATGGAGTCAGAAGTGGGGGTCTGTTCAGGCCTTCCCTGGGCTGCCCCAGGACAGCCTCAGCCATTCATTCAGGTGTAAAACCCACCAACATGATCTGAGAGGAGCAGTATCTTTGGGCTGGCTAGGGTCTGCCTAGGGGCTGCAGTCATTATGGGAATGCAGGAGAACATCTGGGGATTGCACCAGGTGTTTAGGGAATGGGTTATTTAGGGGAGGAAGGCAAGGCATGGGAAGGAGGGAACTTGGTAGTCTGAAAAGGAACATAAAGGGATAAAAGGATGCAAAGACTTAAGTGCATGTACAGCTGCTGAAACAGTTCATGTTCTATGCTGCCTCTGGCCACAGATAAATTAATCTGCCTGAACCAAATACTCTGGTCATCAAGAATATGAAGGCAGCTCAAACTCCCTGAAAAGCCAAAAGTTGCCACTGCTAAATATTCAAAGCTTTCCAAATATGAATGCCATCTACAGCCCCAATGCCAGGAACTGAGGAACTCTTGGAGACCAGCATGGGGTGTAGGCTGGGACAGACACCCACACACGCCCCAGCTCTGGAACAGAATGAAATCCTCAGCTCTGTGTGTCCTTGGCTTGCACACTGCAAACCCAGCACCTAGAGGTGCCTGTGGCTGCCTGTGAGAACCCCAAAATGCCCTACAGCACTTGTCTTCCTCCCTGTTGGGACTTTAAGAGTTCTCAGCATTTAAAAGATGGATCACTGGTGCCATTTTCCCCAACCCAAACCCAGTGTTTCTCCTCCTCTGCAGCATTTGGCCACAGCAGGAGCTGAAGGGACCATTAGGACGATTGGTGCTTGGCTTAGGTACAAAGTGCCAGCAGCAGTCCAGCTTAAAGGACATTTGCTCCTATCTGCTGAGCTGGGCTCAGCTTGGGAGAGCTCAGCAGAGGAGCTGGCCTGACTCCAGCCTTAAAGGGAAGAGTTCTCCCAGAGAACATATACCATTAAGTGTTGGATAGCTGGAAAACCATCTAGAGACCTTGTGCTCTGTTCCTCCTAAAAATAGGACACTAGTCCTGCAGCAGGGAGTTACCAAGGAAACATGACACAGGTATCCATGGAGTGTGTGTCAAAGTATCCCCTTATTCAAGGGCAGCAGAAAGCCTGGAATGGTCATGCAGTGCCACCACCCAAAGAGTTCAGAGCTGCAGAAGCTTCATATCCCCTGTCCTCTGGTAGAGCACACGGATACACATCTTGGCTCATGAAGGTATGACAGAGCAAGTGCAGATGTGCTGGGGAGTGCTATGATCCAGTGAGAATGAGGGGAATTGGGTTTTGTGAGAATAGAAATCCATTTTCCCCTTTTATCTGGTCTTCCACTGGGTGCCACTGAGCAGCAGAACCACTGGCTCCATCTCACTCCTGTGAGGCCGGGCTGGGGCAGGTCCATTCACTCACCTCGGGGCAGGTGCCTTGGGCTTGCTGGATTGTGGCGATGAAATGGGTCACCAGGAAAAGCACATTTTCTCCCTGGGAAGCAAGAAGGCGCTGTCAAAGGGAGGCTGACACCAGGATGGTCCAAGGGGACGCCCTGTGACACCATGGGCGGAACAGGCACTAATGGGCTTGCCAGGGCTTGGGGAGGCCAGTGGTACCCGCGGCATCCCCTTGTCAAGATGACTGGCCGTAAGTGTGACCTCCCTGTCCCCGCCCGGGGCCCGCCCGTACCTGCGGGGGCCAGGTGAGATCCGCAGCGTCCCAGAGCCGCCGGCCCGCGGCCTCGGCGACCGCCGCCCCCTTCACCTTGGTGACCACGGCGACACGCGGGGCTGTGTCGCGCTCCTGGTAGCCCTTCCGCAGCAGCAGCACCCACCTGCGGAGATGCGGGGCACTCTGAGGGACCCCCGGCCGGGCCCGAGGGCTGGGGGCATGGCCCTACCGCAGCGGGGACCGGCCAGCCCGAGGGCAGGCTCCCTACCCCAGCAGGTAGCCAAGCGCGCTCAGCTGCAGCAGCCGGTGCAGCAGCCCCACCCGCCGGTTCCGCGTCAGCGAGAACTTGGCAGTCTTGTAGTCGAGCAGGGACCCGCAGGGTGGGCCCGGCATGGTGGCACCGGGGGGAAAGGCGGGCACGGGGGGGGTTAGCGGCACTAAGGACAAAGGGGGGCACGGTGAGGATAGCGGCACCAGGAGGGGAAGGAGGCCAGGGAAGGGAAAGGCAGCCCGGGGGCCGGCAGCCACGGGCCGGGCCGGGCCCGCAGCCCCGACGCCGGGACGGGGGCGGGCACAGCGGCCGTGACGGGGTCACAGCGGCCGTGACGGGGTCACAGCGGCTGCCGGGCCTGCCGCACCGCCGGGCGAGCCTCCGCTGCCTCCAGCCGCCGGCTCTCCCCACAACGAGAATCCCAGAATGGTTTGGGTTGGAAGGGATTTAAAGCCCTTCCACTGCCGTGGCAGGGACACCTTCCACCATCCCGGGCTGCTGCCAGCCCTGTCCAACCTGGTCCTGGGCACTGCCAGGGATCCAGGGGCAGCCACAGCTGCTCTGGGCACCCTGTGCCAGGACCTGGGACAATTCCTAATTCCCAATATCCCATCCATCCCTGTCCTCTGGCAGTGGGAAGCCATTCCCTGTGTCCTGTCCCTCCATCCCTTGTCCCCAGTCCCTCTCCAGCTCTCCTGGAGCCCCTTCAGGCCCTGCAAGGGGCTCTGAGCTCTCCCTGGAGCCTTCTCCTCTCCAGGTGAGCACCCCCAGCTCTCCAGCCTGTGCTAAACCAGTACGGACCATTCCCGGTCAAGGGATGGGCAATTTTTCTTTCTGCCTAATGAAAATTATGTCGTTCCTCTGGATGATGGAGCAACCCAAGTTTTACATCAAGGATACATCAGGGACCCATTCCAACCTGCCCTGCTGGAGGTTCGGGGACCTACCAGAGCCCAGGGTTCACCACATGAGATGTGATGTTGGCCAGCAGAGCGGATTTGCCAGCAGAATGCTTTGAAGTGCTCAGGAACCAGAATCATCTCCTTCCCTGGATGCAGGTGGGAGGATGGGATGTGTAAATGGGTCAGTACACCACAGAAAGAATTTTTCTTTATGTCATCTCCCCTGAAGTACTCCACTAAATATTAAATTAATATTTTTAGGAAGAAATTATAAACCTTCTGTTTTAAATTAATATTTTAAAATTAATATTTTTAGGAAGAAATTATAAACCTTCTGTACATTCATGTCAGGTGGTTCCACCTGAAGCTGCTTTCAGCGGGTACAGAATCTTAGAAATGTGTAGTTTGGACCATAAAAAAGTACAGTCTTTTCTACTCATTTTTGATGATAAAACTTTTTCTTAAGTTTATTTTGTCTGGAATAGTTCTCTGAGGTCCCTTCCAGTTAATTTTCCTGTCTCCAATATCCGTGGATGGACAAAATAATTTGATTTTGTAGTATCTTTTGTATAATCACAAGGTCATGGCTATGCTTCTGTTTAGCTTCTGTAAATATTTCTGAAATGCTGTGTGCCAGATCCATGTTTTCCCTGGGTGGTGTCTTTCATGCCAAAGTCGAAGTCCAGCTCCATCCACTGCTTTACAATCCTCAGTCCTCACACATCTCACTTGCTACAGCCTCCTTCTTGAACATCCTTCATGTCTTCAGTGGCCTTCTTTGGCTGACAGGAGAGAAAACAATCTTAATCCTCACCACTTTTGGCCACCAGGAGAACCCCAGCCATCCACCTCATTCGTTCCCAGTTCCATGCTGCTTGCTTTCCTTGGGTTTACCTTTGAAGGCTCCAGTGGCTGCTTGTCACCACCCCTGTCCTCCTCACCTCCCGTTCCTTTTACAGTCCAACACTTCTCCTCAGCTGTCTCAGCTTCAGGTATGGACATGTTTTCCTTTTCATTTATCCTAGTTGACACCCTCATGTTTTTCCTGCTCCCTTGGAAATTCACAGAACACTTGCTGAGCAAACCTATTTGGATTTCCAGCGTCTCTGGGAGGGGTTCCAGGAGGCTGTGGGAGCTCCCTGGCTGCTCAGTATCAGCTTTCAGGCTCCATCAGCTGGAGAACGAGCAGGGCAGTCACAGCTGCACTGTGAGCACCAGCCCCTGGCTTTGTCACAGTGACTGGACTTTCAGTCCCTCTTTTCTGTCTTGGCAACATGAGGTCAAAGAACGTAGACGCTTCACTGTCTGGCAGCTTCTGCTTTGGGCTTGTGGTAAATGAGGTAGAAAAAGATGTAGTTTTAATCACCTAGTGGTAATACAGACAGTTGCAGAGAAGTACATGAACCAACCCAAGCTTCCTTTTAACTCTTAAACTGGTTTCATGTATTTTTTCTTAGGGGAGATTTTTGAAATGGCTATAGCAGCAAACATTTGATTAAACTTAGAATTAGCTGGAGCCATTTCCATAGCCAAGAGCAGCTGCCTTGGCCAAAGGCTTGGAGCAGGGAATTGTTTTCACTCCTGTTCTTAAACTGTGAAAGCTCACATGAAGCTGATGTGCTGTTGGCCTTGTGCCTGTCCCTGTCCAAGAGTCATCTATGACGTGGGATCACATGGACCTTGGAATTAAGAGGGAAAAATCATCCAGTATCTATGGACATATCACAGATGTTTTCATTTCTCTGTTTCAAGTTTTTTCCTTTCTAGAGTCAAAATTACTGTAATGAATGTTTTGAATGGTTTAATTTCTGATTCATAAATCAACACAGATATTGTTCTGTAGTCTATATATTGTTTTTATTCTACTAAAATTTTACTCACCAAAATAAAAACCAGTTCTTCCAGCCTCTGAGGCTGAAAGAGACCACATGTTGGTGGTTAGTGGTGAGTTGGCAGTGCTGGGTTAATGGTCTTGGAGGTTTTTTCCAACTTGAATGATTCTGTGATTCTATAAAGTTTATCTTCTTTATTTGAAGAGAATTCTGTTATGTACCTAGTGGGGTCTGTCCTATAAATGTGCAAATCATTTTATAGTTACGTGTCTAATAAATCAAGACAGTGCTTTTGTCTCAGGACTGTCTGTCCAAACCATTTGCAAATACCACTTGTACATACAGGCTGCAGTCTCTAAATTTGGGCTGTCTCTAAAAACATCAGAACCATCCTGACACTCTCTGAGTCTCCAGATGAAAACTTTATGTATTGAACACAGAAGTTTTATAGGGCTTGGTTTAAATCAGTGTAAGTACTTATATTTTAAAATATTTTTACCATTTATTGCTTCTGTGATGTCCTTTGCCCCTAGCCCCTCCTGTGTTCTCTCAAAGGAGAGATGCAGATTAAAATCAGTACACTCCAAGTCTGTCCTTATTCACCAGCTGGAGAAGATCCACTTGCCTGTGTTTTGACACATTAATTTGTTTGTCACTAGAGTCAGAGCCGTGTGGTTTTAGGCTCAACAAACCTATCAACAAACCATTTGGGAACCTAAACACACCAGGTGAGCCAGTGGTGTTACACCGGGCAGTGTCACTGGGATAGGGACCTTGAGCATCCCGCTGTCCTGTGGTCTGATGAGGTGGCTGAGGGACACCGAGCACAGGCCTGCCTTGTGCCCAGGTGGGATTTGCATTCCCGGAGGGCTGCTGGGAGAAGAGGGAGCAGGCAGCTGGAGCTGGCCTGGAGGATTGTGTGGGGAGTTGGAGGGATTTGCTGTGCTTTGGCAGCTGCTGCCAAAGGTTGTGAGGAATTAACATGTAGGGATTTACTCTGAGAACTGTAGTTCTGTTAGACTGAAATACCAGTTACTCCAAATTTACCTGCTGATCTCCCCTGCTGGAATCACTGTTCCTCCTTCCTCAAAGTCAATTGTGTTCTCTCTGTGTTGGAAACCAATCTTGGAATAATTCACCAGAAGACTTGTTGAATCCCTGTTCACAAGGGATTCAATGATTCTAGTACTGAGCCTTTTTTTTTTTTTTTTTTTTTTTTTTTTGGTGTGTGTGTGTGTGTCTAAGTGTCAATTCCATATTGTTCATTTTTGTTTTCTTTGCAAGAGTGCCAGGTAGCAGTTGGATGCCTCATGAAGGTGTTACAGCACACCAGCACTGCTGCCTCTTTCCAGGTCCTCTCCCAGTCAGAGCACAGAGGTTACACAAATCCACATTGATTGCCACTAATGGTAGTTTTCCAGAATTCTTGAGTAGCTCTCACTTTGCTCAGTGGTGTTTTGTAGCCTTGACTCCTCATCCCCTGTCACCTTTTGGAAGGATCTGTCAGCTGGTTTTGCTGCAGTGCTCTGGGACTGCTCCAGCTGCCTGTTTCTGGAAAATGAGCATTACTGCTCCAGGGAAGCTCACTGCCTGATTCCATGTGGAACTTCTCTGGTGTAAGTTACAGAGGTGATCCCAAAGTTCTAACTGTAGCAGCTAACTTTGGAGGCAGGGCTGGGCAGTGGAACCTCCAGTGTGTCTCCAGCTGCTCCCCCCCACACAGAAAAGGGGTTTTTGTGTTTTCCAAGTATTTTTCTTGAGCACTTTCATCTCCTTTAGGATATCAAGTGTGCTGCCATGCCCAAAGGTGCATTGGCTCTTGTCCCAGCAAGGATTGGCTGCCCTAGAGTGCTTCCAGCCTAGCAAGAGAGGTGTGGGGTAATGAGAAATCAGCCATCCTGGCTCCAGAGGAGCCACTCGCCACAGCTCCTTCCTGCCAGCATCTGACAGATGTTTCACAACCTCAGGCCAAGCTGTCATTGCCTCAGGAAACGTTTCTGGTCTCCTGCCTAAATCTTCCTCATGGCAGTTTCAGTCCACTGCTTCATTCCATGCCTCCTGTGCATGTGGGGAAGATTTATTTTCCTTTTATAGAATCTGTAAGGTTGGAAAAAACTGCTAAGATCATCGAGGCCAGTAGCTGCAGTTTTGTGTCTGTGTGGCGTGTTACATGTGGGGAAATGGCCATTTCCTCCCTTGCCCCCAAAGCAGATGCAGCGGATGCATCTGGTGTTGGAATGAAACCTCTGCCACAGGGATGGGGCCACGCCATTTGTGCCCTGGCTCCTTGGAAAGTGCTGAGACCGGGAAGAGCTGCGGCTTTGGAGACTGCTGAGACACAGCACAAACACTCCTGGAATGATCTGGGGACCTGTCTGCCTGACCACCAGCACATCGTGCAGGGACAAAGGGACAACAGGACCACCTTGCTCTGTGCCATCTTTTAATGCTCTGCCATTCCCTGGCTGGTGGTAGGAGCAGATACACCAGTGCTGGCATCCTGGAATGCT